ATGGCCCGCGCCGATCGGCAAAACAATGAATACGAAAACGTTCACCAAACGCCGCAGCACGCACCGCCGCGGCCAGAAGGACGCGCCCACCCCGCAGGCCCCCTCCCCGCGCGGGTCGTGCGCGGGGGAGCAGGGGCGGCTGCAGCAGCACGAGCGGGAGGAGGAGACGGACGATCTCAGACTCGTCGAGGCAGGCTCGCGGTCGGGGGGGCCTCCTCCTCCTCCTCCTCCTCCTCCTCCTCCTCCTCCTCCTCCTCCTCCTCCTCCTCCTCCTCCTCCTCCTCCTCCTCCTCCTCCTCCTCCTCCTCCTCCTCCTCCTCCTCCTCCTCCTCTCTTCGCGATACCCACGCTGATAGGGACTAGGCCCTACAAGCCTGCGCAAGGTGAATGCAAGGAACAAGCTCGCTGTGGAACAACACCTGAATATCCTCAATTCAACGCCTTGACTGTACCGATATCGGTACGCTTGCCTCGTGTTTGCCGTGTTGTGCATCCTGGACGGCCCTCATCGCCACGGCTGGATTCGTCTCGGAGTCCGAATCGAAACTCACCCTGGGAGAGGCCTGGGGAGTAGCAGTATTAGAATAGCTCGGTTTCCCCTGCGGCAGCAGCAGCAGCAGAACGAGCATGCGGATAACATCTATGTCCTTATCAAATGCGTCTCGGACTTTCGGACTACCTTCTCTAGAGACCCGAGGCGGGATGGATAGGGACAAACATGTGCCTCTGGCAAGAACTCATGTTTATCCACATCCACTGCGCTTCAAGATTTTTGCGCATTTCCCCAAACACTCAAGACGCAGTGAATACGGATATACTGAAGGGGCCCCAGGACACACAAATAAATACACACAAATAAAAAGATTCCCCATATTTTCCTATATGTTCTGGGTTTTTGTCTTCCCCCCCACTTCCCATATTTTCCTTGGAGTCGACGATTAATTGTGTCTGTGTGTTTCTTTCCCTCCTGATATACATCGTGCCCGCAGAACAGGAGGAGAAGGATTCATGCATTATTGTGTTACCCCTCGGATCGGTCACAACAGCGCGTCCCCGGAACAGTTCCTCAGACTGCCGACACATGCGGCACTCCGAGACCCCTTTCCTCGACCGGCGTGCGACACTTGGCAGGAAGGACAGGTGCACAATGGACGGGACGAGAGGCGAAAGAACCGGAGGATCCCCAGGGTGTGAAGGAGGAGGAGGACACTGGTTACGCAACCGAACGTGCGTGATGGTGAACACGAGGAGGCAGCAGGCGGAGGGCAAGGCGAGCAGAAACATCAGCAGGAGCAAGCGGAGAGAGAGAGAGAGAGAGAGCAGGTGGAGGAACAGCTGAATGATTGGGAGGAGACAAGATGAGGACCACCCCTCGGGGGACTGCACCACAAGCCAGAAGCCCATGCGGAACCGCCTGGAGGGAGAGGCACTCCAGCGCGCGCCGCGGAACCCAGGGGGCCCCGCTTCTGAGCGCATGACGAGGGAACTCGCTGGCGATGGGTTGGGGCACGGGAGCTACCTCCGTCTCAATATTTCGGAAGAGGAAGCAGCCTTCAGCCGCAGGGATTCTCGCATGGACGATAGGGGGGAACGTCGGAGGGGAACGCTTGCCGTCGCCAGGACGCCCATTTTGGAGGTGCACCTGTCGGTGCTCGATGCGTGTTTTGCTTTGCTGGAGGATCCCGACCACCTACCAGACCACCCCGAACCCAACCCGAAGACCCGACTTTCGGGTTGGGGGGGGGTGGGGGGTCACGGGCTCCAGACATGCTTTTGTCAATGTTCCCCGACCCCGCCCACTCGACCTGGAGAGCACGTCGGGGCCTTCGGGTTGGGTTGGGGGTGGTCCGGTGGGCGGTGAGCTTCAGGATGCCCCTCGACGACCCGCGCCCGGCACAAACATGTGCACGGCCGGGAGCTGCCGAGCGGGGGGGGACAGATCGTTCGGAGGCAACTCGTGGGAGCCTCCCATACCATCTCGTCGGCTCTTGCGCATCCCCGCTGGTCGACGCGCTGCATCGACGCTGCATCGACGCCATCCTCGACGCTATAGCCGACGCCACATCGGCACACCCGATCGACTCGAAACGTTACTCGGCGATATTCGATGCCAAAGCGGGAAGTGAGAGGGCATGCGAGGCTCCCGTGCTTGGCTGCCGAAGTATCGACCTGGGATCGCCGATTCACCGCCGAGAGGTCGGCGGCAGGGCACCCCTGGCCAAGAGCTCCCACGGCCCTGGGCAGGGGGCCCTGGGCAGGGCTTGGGCCATCGGGCCCTTGCTCGGCGGCGGGCCAAGGGGGGGGGGAAGTGAGAAGGGGCGGGCCTCCTTGGAAGGCTCGGAAGCCCCCCAGCCTTCTGAGAAATGTTCTAAGCTGTCCCCGAAGGCGCAAGAGACTTCTCCAAGGCCGGAGGGCTTCTGAGAAGGCCCGCCGCTTTCTGAGAAGGCCTCCTCCTAATCTATTTCCCCCCCTCGCTCGCCACGGCGAGCCTCGGCTTCGAACAAGCTCCCGGACCTGGATCTAACGAACGGCCCGAAAACCAGAGCCACTCCTGAGCCGGGAGCGGTACATGTTCAGCGTCTTGACTGTATCGGCGATGAATGGTCGATTGGGGATTGTGCATCCGCCCTGAGCCTATCTAATGGCGGCCAGCCCACAGGCCCCTGGAGTCGTGATTTTATCACAGCGTCGACCCCAGGAGGTTGGGACCGCTTCCCCTGTACTGGCTTTGATGTTGCACACTTGTTTGACGGTACCAGGGCCCGGGGAAGCCCCCCCGAGGCCGAAATAGGCGGAACAAGTCCTGTCGTGATTTTTTTGTTAGAGGCTGTTCCTCTCTACAGTCCGGCAAGTGTGCTTGCATGGCAGGGGGAGAGGGGGGGGGGCGTAGCGAGCCCGAATGGAAATCTGCACCCCACGCAGGCCAGGACTCGCTTGCACGTCGCTTCGGCCCGGCGCTGCTCGGAAAGGCGGCGGAGGGCGGCGCTGGGGGGGGGGGAGTGCCGTGGACGTACGCTTGCCTCGGAGGCGGCCAGGGCCTCTGAGCTGGATCGGCCCCGAGAAGTGTGCCAGCAAGAGGGGGAGCAAGGCTGCATCCGCTCAAAATCGGCCCCAGGACCCCGTCCTGGGGTCTGTCTGGTGGAATGTTTCACTGAAGGGGAACTGGGACACACAAATAAATACACACACATAAGAATACCCCCCATATTTCCCCATATTCTCTGGGTGTTTTTCTTCCCCTCCACTTCCCATATTTTCGCATATTTTCCTGGGGATCGACGATTAATTGTGTCTGTGTGTTTTTGTTCCCCTCCTGATTCACACCGGGTCCGTGTTGGACGATATCCCGGGCCCGAGAGCGGCCCCCCGGAGGCCGGAGGAGGCGAACAGCCTTCTCGATCCCGTGCAGCAGGGGCTCGACCACAAGGAGCCTTCCACGAGAAGCCCGGCCCTGAGACCCAAGGACGACCACGGACTTCTGGTGTGGGAACGTCACGCTCTCCCTAGCAACACCATCGAGGCCCAAAGAACCCAGGGCACCCTCTGGAGGCAAGCAGGGTGCTTCTCGGCATGGTGATAGGCCTGTTTTCCACCACCACCATAGGTTGGAGGGGGAGGCGGTCCTCCTTCTCCTCCTCCTCCTCCTCCACCTCCTCCTCCTCCTCCTCCTCCTCCACCTCGTCCTCCACCTCCTTCCCCCCTCCAAATGATGGTGGTGGTGGTGGAAAACAGGTCCATCACATGGGCCTCCACTGCAGCTCAGCACTCCTCCGAGCCTTCCCTGCTTGCCCGAACCGAGCCTGGGCCACCCCAAACCCTCCAGCCGGCTCTCCAACCTGCGGGAGTGGGCAAAAAAGGGGCGCCCTCTTACGACGCGGCAGGGCTGAACCTGAACGGTGCTGTTCGTTTTCGTTTTGCTTTCGTTTCCCCTCGTTTTGTCTTCAATCCGCCTCTACCGCAAAACGAAGTCGACGAAACGAAAACGGCCCACGGAATCGCCAACACACCGTTTAGGTCGGCTACACGTGAGAGTGACCCTGGGCAAGAGTGACCTGTGGTGCGCGGCTTTGGGGGGGCCGCGGGGGGGCCAAACACAAGCGCACAAGACGCCTCTGCCGCCTCGCGTTCGGCGATCGGGGCACCCCAACGGGCCTTGGGCGTGGCTTAATGGGGGGGTCATAGATGGGGGGGTCAGAAAAGGTCCCCTTTCGGGCCCCTCCAGAGCCCCAGGGGGCTCGTTTAGGTACCGTTTGGGTACCTTTTCGAACCACCCTCGCCACCCCCCCCATTTATGACCCCCCCATTACGCGGTGCCCAATGGGCCCGCACCAAAGGTCACTCCGGCGAAGGGTCACTCTTACGTGCAGTCGATTCAGGTCCAGCCGCGCGCCCGCGGCAGGAGGGCCCGGCACCGAATCGGCGAGCTCCGACCAGTCGGGAGAGGAATCGCCTCGGCGGAACTCGGCAGGCCAGGAGGGCCTCCGTGGAGGAATCGGAGCCCCCATCGGCACCCGAGCTCGGATCGAATCGGCGGCCCCCGAAATCGAGCCGAGCCGAAATCGGGTCGAGTCGAATCGAGAACGAATCGGAATCGAATCGGAGGGGTCGACATGAGCCCTGCCGCGACGCCGCGACGCAGGCCGGGGCAATCGGGGGCAGCCAAGAGGGTGGCGTCCAAGGTGGAGGGGGGGGGGGGGGGGAGCGCAAATTATGGCCGGCGGCATGGGCGCGGCCTTGGGGGGGCCAGGGACGCAATGAAGTAAGAAGAGGCGCCGTGCCGTGAAATCGGAAGAAATAGCATGGCCCACGCCATGATACCCACCTCCTCCTCCTCCTCCTCCTCCTCCTCCTCCTCCTCCTCCTCCTCCTCCTCCTCCTCCTCCTCCTCCTCCTCCTCCGCCTCCGCCTCCGCCTCCGCCTCCGCCTCCGCCTCCGCCCCCGCCCCCCTGGCCATCCCCCCCCTCCCTGCCGCCCCCGAGGCAACGGGGGGGGGGATGCGCCCTGGCGCAGAGGTAGCGGCCGCCCGGCAGCTCCATCTGGGCGTCGGGCAGCGCCTGCCGGGCCGCCAGCGGGCGGCCCCCCCCAGGCGGTGCCGAGGGCCCCAGAGAGCCAGCGCAGAATAACAGAAACCGGCGGTGGACAAACCTCCCTCTAGTAGACCTCCCCTTAGTGAAAACGGCCTGGGACCGAAACCGGCGGACCTCGACCCGCAACAATGACGGCCGCGACGCCCTCTCGCGAACCGAAGACGGCGAATTCCTTGATCGACGTGTCAGGGCAGGAGGTCTGTCCACCCCCGAAGAAACCTTCGCGGGGGGGTCGTTTGGACGGAGGCTGTTCGCCGTGTTCGGCCTCAGGAGGCCCTCGCAGGGCCCCCGGGACCGTCCAAACACGGCTCAGGAGGAAAAGCCGGCCCCGGGAGAAGGGTCGGGACTGCCCGTGACCCGTAGCGAAAAGATCACGACGTCGGATCTCTGGGGTCTGAGCGTCGCATGACCGATGCGGGTCCCCACTGGCGCGGCCCTGGCACCACTGGCCGGCCCACCTACTGGCCGGGCCCCCCCAACTCAGGCTGACGCCTTCGTCGTCGTCGTCGTCACCTTCGTTTTCCGTCTTCCGTTTTCCGTTTTCTGTCTTCCGTCTCCCGTCTTCCGTCTTCCGTCTTCCGTCTTCCGTCGTCGTCGTCGTCGTCGTCCGTTTTTCGTCTTCCGTCGTCGTCGCACACCCCATCCCATCAGGGCGAGGGGAAGCGCTTTCGACCCTGGGACTAATCCCGTCTGACAGGGAGGAGGGCCGCGACTGGGGATCATCCATGTTTTCGTTCCTTCGGGCGCCGCGGGGCCTGTCCCCGCGTAGGAGCGCGGGCTGGCGGGGCCGAGAGAGGCCATGACCCAGCGGGGACAGGGACGGGATGGATCAGAGGACGCCGAGGGGCGCGCGCTGGCGGGGGGGGGGGGTAAGCCGCGGGGGCGTGTGCGCGCAGGCCCTCCACCGCTTCCAGCCCCCCCTCCCCACCTTCAGTCGACCCGTATCATGATGATGCGCGATAAGGACGCAAGGGCCTCGGAGGCCCATTTCTAAGCTATTCGAGCGGGGCGCGGACAGCGAGAGTGGCCTGGGACAGACCGAGAAGGCAAGGATACAAAGGGTACCCTTGGGAATGTTGCCCATCCTTGAGGAAGGTTGGGCCCAGGACTGTGGTCGCGATGTCGCCACTTGTTTCGCCACTTCGGAGCTCAGGGCCTCTTCCCCCCTCCCCGTGGCCTCGCCTCGCCTTGCCCCCCCCCCCCCCCTCCAGCATTTGATCCCCCCCTCTGTAGCGTTCCGCCGCCTCCCCCTCCCCCCGAAGTGCCCTTGGGTCGGGCATGTCCTCCTACAGGCGGATCCTGGAAGACAACTAAATGAACAGCCCTCAAGAATGTAGAAAGAGGCCAGGGGATTGTGGAGTATGCGGTTTGCCATACCACTTCTTTCAATGTTGCACTCTCGTTTCGGCGCCGCGTACGTTTTTTTTTCAAAAGCGTCATTCTCGCCTCGGCGCCGCGCACATTTTTGTTTGTTCATTGTGTGAGTGGAGAAAGTGCGGGTTCGTGCCTCGCGCGCTGCACGAGACACTCGGGCGCGTCCAGCCTTCGGCCTCATTCTCACCATCTCCTTCCTCTAGCTCCTCGTCACTATTCCCTTTGGGGTGCCAGAGGGTGGTGGCGGTAATCGTGGTGGTGGACAAGGGGTGGCGGCAGTGCTCGGTGAGAACCAGGAGTGTGTGAAGTATTCGGTATGTTGTGCCCTTTCTTCGCTCTTCTTTGCTTTCTTCTTCTCTCTAATTTCCGTTCGTGCGTGTGCGTGGAGTCGCGCGCGCGTGTGTGTCTGTGTGTAGGAGGAAGACGAGGCGGGTAGGAAGGTCGTCTTTTTTTTCGCAACGTGACCGCTGCCGCGGCGGCGCCGCATATCGGACTAGTCAACAACCCTACTCCCCGCCGCCCAGCTGTCTAGTCGGAAAGATTCTCATTCATACAGATTTTCGCAATGGCGCACATGCTCGCTCTCACTGAAATCTCTAACGCCGAATGATGCTGGGCACGACTAGCACCCGTAGTGGCCGACCCTCATGCCGCTGGACACGACGGCCGCCATCGGTGGAAGGTAGTCCGCTCGGCGCTCGGGCCCGCCCTTTTCTGGAACAAATAATATCCCCCGCCTCTCCTCGACAGCGCCGTAGGTTCACGCTTGGAGGCGACAGGCGACGGGGGGGAGGGGGGGGGGGGGCGGCGGCTGAGTTCTTGCGAGTGGTTGTTTCAGTTACATATGCATGCCCACTGGCACGGCCGGCGTGCTCGATTGCCGGGCGCGCCGTGAACGTCCCGCGCGCGGCGGGCCCCGCGTCGCTGGATTTGAAATAGGACGCGATCAGGCCCTGGATATTCAGCGGGACCTCGATGCTTCATTTTCTTTTCTTTTCGATTTGCCATGTTATATTTTAGTTCGTTTGTACATTCCCTCTGTCCGAAACTGCGAGGGGCGTGGAAAAGCAACGCTAACGATTCTGGAGCCGCTAGCCTGGGAAGCCTGCGTCACCTCAGGATCTAAGAAATAAGCCCTAACAAACTGCTTCTCTCCTATAATTGGAAAGGGCCGCGCCGCGGAAGAGTGTTCGCTGGTGCCCCAAGAATTGAGACGCTGCACCCGGCCGCACTTTGTGGCGCGCTTGGCCGCCATGCTGCGCAGGTTGCGGGCGCCCCCCCCCCATTTTGGCGACGATCGCCGCGAGGTGCCAGCCGCCCGGCTCGCGCGCCCCCTGCAGCGCCTTCGCAAACTTGTAGGCGACGCGCACCTTGACGCGGAAGTGCAGCCACAAGTCCGGCAGCTCCACGCGCATGCACGGCATGCGCGCGACAAGGGCATCAGGCCACTCGGCCCCGCTGGGCCCCCCGTGAAGCCGCACGATCTGGGCCTTCACAGACCCGCCCTCTATGCCGAAACCGAACTTCGCGCCCGCGACCTGCGCGAACGCCGTGGACACCGCGCAGAGTGCACACGGGGAACGCACCCTGGTCCAGCACCTGACGGGGAGGGGGGGCTACTCAGAGAAAAAGAATGGCCCCCGCCACGCAAATGAGCCAACGACAACGACAGAATCTATCAAGCCAAACTAAACACACAGCAAAACGCTTTATCAAACCATCAGGAGAAAAAGACACCCCGAATGCGACTTTGCGCATTTTGAAGGGTCTCGGGGGGGAGGGGGGGGTGTAAACGGTAACCATTTGCAGCATAATACCCACCTGGGCTGGGTCCGGCGCCGCGAGCGCAGCGGGCTCTAGGCTGCGCTGGGGCGGAGCAGCGAGGGGGGCGTTCGGGGGCAGCTGCTCTTGTTCGCCTCCAGCGGCGTCGGCGGGTGGCGGCAGCTCGGGCTCCTGTGGGGCAGGCTCCGCGGCCTTTCCCCTCGGAGGCGGCGTCCTGCTCCTGGCGGCCCTCAGCCCTGCGGCGCCCGCCTGCCGCTCTCCCAGCAGGTGCGCGCCCGCGTCGGGCGGCAGCCTGCCGAGGTAGCTGGCCAGCTGCTAGGGGGTCAGCAAACCCATGGCCCGCCTAGCAGCTCCCAGGCTCTGGGCCCTGAGAGACCGGAAGACGGCGGCATTCTGACAGAGCGAGCAGTAGGCGGACCGGCTGGAAGCCTCGAAGGGCTCGCCCCCTTGCCCGAAGGCGCGGGGGCAGCGCTCCTTACTGTCGCAGAAAACTGGCATTGAGCCCGAAACTTATGGCGGAGTAGGAAGGAGTGGAGCAGGAGTGAGGCAGGTGGCGAAGAGCAATGCTAAGAGAAGCGTCGTTCCTCTTCCTCCTATTCCTCATCATCCTTCTTCTGACTTCCGACCTATTAGCGTCTACAGCCCCATCCCTTCATTCAACATCCGTCCATTCCTCTCACCCCCGCCCCTTCCTGGCCAACATCTCTCTCTCTCTCTCTCTCTCTCTCTCTCCAGCCTCCCTCCATCCTTCCAGCCTCTCTCCATCCATTTTCCTTCAAGCCACCCTCCTGCCCACCTCCGGCCTCCCTCCTTGCCTCCAGGCTTCCACCCAGCAGCCTGTCGCCAGCCACCCTCCATTGAATATTCCTTCATCCCTCCATTCATTCCGCCTCCATCCAGCTATCCTCAGGTCTCCGAGCATTCTCCCTCCATCCACTCTCCTTCAAGCCTCCCTCCTGCCTACCTCCGGCCCCCCTCCTTGCCTCCAGGCTCCCACAAACGGAAACGAAGTGTAAACCCGCCTCAATAGAGAAGTCTTGGAGGTTTTGAGTTTTTCCAGTTGTTTAATTTTTTGGTGGTTTTCCCAGCTCTCCATAAAATTCCTTTTGTGGCGCACCAACAAAAAGAATTCAATTGTAGACCGAATAAAAATGAAAGAACAAAGCCGCCACAAAAGGAATCTAAGTGCAAATCCGTCTCAAGAGGAATCCTATTGTAAACTCAAAACAAAAGGAATTTAATTAAAAAACCCTCCACAATAGGAAACTCATTGTAAACCTGCCACACAAGGAATTTAATTGTAGATTCCCTCACAAAGGGAATCCTTTTGTAAACCCGCCACAAAAGGATTTGATTATAATGCAAATCCAAAATAAATTATTGGAGAATTTCAGTTTTTTTCAGTTTTTTCAGTTTTTTCAGTTTTTCAGTTTTTTTCAGTTTTTTCAAATTTTTCAGTTTTTTCAGTTTTGGTTTTTTTTTCTGTTTTTCCCAGCTCTCAATAGAATTCCTTTTGTGGCGCACCAATAAAAGGATTTTTATTGTAAACCGACATCAAAAGGATTTCAATTGTAAATCCGCCACAAGAGGAATCGAATTGTAAATGCGCAAAGAAAGGAATGTAATTGTAAACCAAACACAAAAGGAATTCGATTGTAAACCCGCCACAAAAGGAATTTCATTGTAAACCCGCCACAAAAGGAAATGAATTGTAAATCGCCTCACAAAGGGAATCCTTTTGTAAACACGCCACAAAGGGAATTTCATTGTAATTCACGTACAAATAGAATCTGTTTGAAACCAATCAAAAACTGAAAAAACTGAAAAAAATGAAAAAACTGAAAAAAAACTGGAAAAAAAAACTGAAATCTCCAGAACCCTTACAAGGGGAATTCTGATTGTAATCGCCACAAAAGGAATTCAAGTGTAAACTCCCCACAAAGGGAATCCTTTTGTAAACCCGCCACAAAAGCAGTTTAATTTAAAATCATCGCACAAAGGGAATTGCTTTTGTAACCCCCCACAAAAGGAATTTAATTGTAAATCGCCACACAAAAGGAATCCTTGTGTAAACTCGCCACAAAGGGAATTTAATTGTAATACACGTACAAATAGAGTCTATTTGAAAACAATCCAAAAACTGAAAAAAACTGAAAAAAATGAAAACACTGAAAAAACTGAAAAAAACTGAAATCTCCAGAACCCCCACAAGGAGAATGCTAATTGTAATCGCCACAAAAGGAATTCAATTGCAAACCTGCCACAAAAAGGAATTTAATTGTAAATCGCCTCACAAAAAGGAATCAAATTGCAAACGCCATCCATCATACAGAGATCCGTCCTCCTCTTCCTCCTCCTCCTTCCTCCCTCACGTTTCGGTTGGCAGACCGCATACTCCAAAATCCCCTCTCCTCAGAAAAACAGCGAACAGATCACGAAACATCGCCCCAAAACGATTGTTACGACATTCTCGAATACTCCTCCTGTGCATGCCCAACTTAAAACCATCCCCTGGCAGCACGCATTCTACAACGAGCAGCCCCGCCTCCCCCCCCCCCCTAGCGTCGCCCCCCCTTCGCCCCCCCCCACCCCCCACCACCACTCCCCTCGGCGTCGGGACACCGTCACCGCCAGCGGTGCGTGCCCCGCGGGCCGCGCGCGGGGCCCAGGGAGGGGAGCCTGGGAGAGGGGATCACGGGGGCGACTATAACGGCAACAACGACAACGACGACGACGATGACAACGGCAACGATAACGTCGGTATCGTTGTTCTCGTTGGGGGGAAGGGTGCGCGAAGGAAGCGGGCCCTGGAGCAAAGGGGTGTTCTGCGCCGCCCTGGGCCCCCCCCGGCCCCGCGAGCGCCCACGGGACGACGCTCGGGTGAAGAGCTGTGGTCCTGCAGAAGGCCGCGCCGGCAGGGTCCCCCTGGGTCCGGGACCCCACTGCCTGAGGACCCCCATGTTTCTTCCGCGTGTTTTATGGCGAAGCGGGGGGGGGGAGTCGTTCCGCTGGTCGAAGTCGAGGGAGGAAGTGCGGGGGGGAGAAAGAGAGACAGAGAGGATCCAACAGGAGACGGACAGAGAGAGGGGGAGGAACGAGAGGGAGAGAGAGAGAGAGAGAGAGAGAGAGGGAGAGGAAGGCTAGGAACAAATCGCAGGGCTCAGAGGAGGACCCCCCGGAGGCCGAAGACTGCATGATCCCATCGCACCGTGAGGAGTTGACCCCCCCAAACATTGACCCTGACCCACACTGGGCACCGATCCTCTGGGGGAGGAGGAGGAGGAGGACCAGTGTAAACCCAAGGCGCATCAACGACGTTGCTATGAACCCTTCCTCCACGTTCCCTCCACGACGTAGTTATGAGACCCTCCGCCGGCCGAAACTCCTGTAAACCCCAAGATCATTCGAGGGTGCCCTCCCCCAGGAAGCACAAAAACATCAAACAAACACGAAGAACATCCAAGGGTACCCTCCCACGGACGACCAGGGTCATATACTTCGGTCCGACTGTATCTCCCTCTGCGAGTGGCCGACCTTCCCCTCCCCCCCACCCTGCTGGCCCGAACCAACTACGCCTCCTCCTCATAGGTCCCTGCAAGAATTGCCTGTCATTCCTGAAAGTTCCTCATTGAAAGAGATCCGCTTGTAAATCTCCGATCGCGCCGAAACGCCACTCTGCAGGGCTTAACACAACGAATCAACGTGACTGCTGCGTCTTCGCACTCATACATGGCCTGATCACCACTCCTGGTGCGTTATCACAACGGATTGACGTGAGTGCTGCGTCGTGACAGTCCTAAATCGTAACAGAGCGCCATTCCTGGGACTTCAACAATACAAATATTCCACATGGTAGAATCCGAAGACGCATATGAGCGGCGCTAGGGTGAAACCCGCATTCTGAAAAACAGAAAGAACGCCCTCCATCATTGAAGCAGTGGCAGCTGTTTAAGACAAGGTGCGCGGCGTTGCAGCGACATCCACATTGTGAAAGGAAATGCCCCTCCATCAATGAAGATGTTGAACTTTTTGTTAAAACGTGCGGCGTTTGGGCGACAACTACATGTTGAAAACCACCCGCCCTCTATCAGTGAACTTGTTGCAGGGGTTGACGACACATGGGCGTGGCACAAAAGCGACCGCCAGATTGTGAACACGGCCCGCCCTCGATCAGTGTTGCAGGCTGTAAAACATGCGGCGCAAAACGCGAGAACCACATTTTGAAAACGGCCCGCCCCCATCAATGAAACGGTCGCAACCTTTCCAAACAAATGCGCACGGCGTGAACACGAGAAACGCATGTCGAAAACGGCCCACCCTCAACACGTGAAACTGTTGCAAACTTCAAGCTTCAAGATCACACATCTGACAAATCTCAAGCGAAACGCCCAGCCCGCCCTACAGACACGTCTGGGGGTGCGACAGGGGGAGTTGTTTAAAAGAACAAGGGGTGGAGGAGTAGGAGGAGGACGAGGAGGACCATAGTAAACCCTAGATGCCTCGACGCCGTCGCAGCAAAACCTCCAAGTTCCCCCATTCATAGGTCCCAACCAGGAGCTAGCTCATCGCGGGAAGTGCCCCGTTGAAAAACAATCGTCTGAGAATCCTTGTCCATGACAAAACACAATTCCTGGAACCTCAACGCCACGGATCAAGGTTGACTGCTGCGCCCTGGCAATCGCGCATCGAATCTGAACGGCACTCGTGGTTCGCAAACTCTGCGAATCAGAATGGTTGTTGCGTCCTGACATTCCTAAATCGTGCCGATTCAACCATACGAATACTTGAATATGCTGCACACCTTAGGACAAATGTGCGCTGAGCTGAAACAATAGTCGCATTGTCAAATGAACCGCCATCCATCCGTGAAACTGATGCAAACTGTTACAACGAATGCGCGCGGCGCTGGGGCGGGAAGCGAGTTTCGGAAAAGAACCGCCTTAGATCTGTGACACTGCCGCAAACTTATAAAACGAGCGTGCACGGCGTTAAGGAAAGAACCACAATTCGAAAAAGAACCGCCCCCCATCCGTGAAACTGCTGCACACTTTTGAACCGAATGTGCGCGGCGCATAATCGAGACCAACATGATACACAAGAATCGCCCTCCATTCGTGAAGCTACTGTACAATTTAAAAAGCAAATGTGTACGGCGCTCAATCGAGACCAACATGTTGAAGAAGAATCGCCCTCGAGACGTGAAGCTGGACACTTCTAAACCGAATGTGCGCGGCGTTCTATCGAGAACAACATGTTGAACAAGAATCGCCCTCGAGCCGTGACATTGCTGCACACTTTTAAACCGCATGTGCGCGGCGCTCCATCGAGAACAACACATTGACCAAAAATCGCCCTCGAGCCGTGACACCGCTGCAACTTCGGGGATCTCCTGACCCGGGTCAATACAGACCCAAGTCAGTCAATCCATGCAGAATCCTGCAAGATCCGGCAAGATCCTCCACCCAAACCCGGGTCAATGCGAAGGATCTTGTAAGGACCTGCAGGATCCTGCACCCCAGCCCGGGTCAATGCAACCCTGGTCCTGCAGGATCCTGCAAGATCCGGCGCTCTGGCTGACACCCGTTTGCATTGACCCCCGTTTCTTGAACCCCGAAAACTGCAAAACGGAGGCGCACGGCGCTAAAGAAAGGGCCGCACCCCCATCCGTGGAGCCGCCGCGCACGCCGAGCCTCCAGGTAGGGACAAAGAGAAGTCTCAACCGCCCAACCAACGTGCCTGTGGGTGCGACAGGGAGCCGCCCTCCACGAAAAACAAACCTCGGGCGTTGCCCGGCTGTGTTGGGTAACGTCTAGACAGAAGAGGAGGAGGAAGAGGACGAGGACGAGGAGAAGGCGGAGGGGGAGGAGGAGGAGAGAGAGGAAGAGGAGGATGAGGATACGGATGAGAGGACGAGGATGAGGATGAGGAGGAGGAGGAGGAGGAAGAGAGAGAGGAGGGAAGAGGAGGAGGAGGAGGTGAGGAGGAGGAGGAGGAGGACGAGGAGGAACAGGTGGGAGGGGAGGAGGAGTTGGAGGAGAGGTGGAGGAGGAGGAAGAGGAGGAGGGGGGGAAAGAGGAGGAGACGGAGAGGAGGAGGAGGAGGAGAGGGAGGGAAGTGAGATGAGGAAAGGAAGGAAGGAGGAGGAAAGGAGGGAGAAGAGGGGGAGGAAAAGGAGGAGGAGGGGGAGGAAGTGATGAGGATGAGGATGAGGATGAGGTGAGGATGAATGAGGATGAGGATGGGAGGAGGAATGATGATGATGGAGGAGGAGGATAGAGGAGAAGGAGGAAGGAAGGAGGAGGAGGAGGAAGAGGAGGAGGAGGAGGTAGACTGCGGAGGAGGAGGAGGAGGAGGACGAGGAGGAGGAGGAGGAGGACGATGATGGAGGAGAAGGAGAAGGAGGAGGAGGAGGAGGAGGAGGAGGAGAAGGGGGAGGAGAAGGGGGAGGAGGAGCAGGAGGAGGAGGAGGAGGAGGAGGATGAGGATGAGGATGAGGATATGATGATGATGATGATGATGAGGATGATGATGATGATGATAATCATGATGATTATGATGAAGATGATGATGATAATGATGTGGACGACTCCGTGGCCAGACGATTATTTTTGTGCAAGAGGGCGCCAGGCGAGGACTCGAAATCTGACGCCGCAGAGGCCAGCACCAGGCCAAAGAAAACATTCTTGAGTTGGGAGACAAGGGGGGGAGGGAGAGACTTGAGAATGGAAGCGCGGCCCGAAAGAGAGCCACAAATAGCCGCGGGCAGCATAATGTGGACGACTCCGCAGCCAGACGAGTCTTTTTGTGCAAGAGGGCGCCAGGCGAGGACTCGAAATCAGATGCCGCAGGGGCCAGCACCAGGTAATATGGCTAGTCCAAGACACTGGCTGAAAGCCGCAATACTTGAATGAAAACCCACACACATCTCGATAGTCGGGAGACGTATCGAAGGCTATCGACGCTGTTGGCCATCATTGCACATGCGAATCGTAGGATACAGGCAGGTGGGTGGCGCGCAGCGCTGCGCATCTGACGGTCTAACGATGGGATGCCTAACTCGCCGAGGTGTCGCTTGCGAGTGCGGCGGCACGGCGAGGCAACAGGCGAACAGGTCAGGGATAGCCGATCAATATTCTTCACGTTCCAGCTTACAAGCCGAAATCTGCTTCTGACGCGACCAGCGCACATGCATGAGTCGAAAACTGTCGAAGAAGAACACTGGCTCACAAGAGTGGTGCACGCACGGCCGTCCCATATAAAAGACGCGTCGGGATGGCATAAAATGGCGGGCACTTTCTTCTCACAGCATTCAGACAGAACGCGCAAGTACTGATCCTGAAAGAGGTTGGCGATGCAAACAGATCGAGCCCTACAGTTGCTCAAAGACGGGAGGCCGCGAGGATGCAGCTTAGACCGCACAGCAGGGGACTGACGAAGCCAGGTAGCGGTGTCGGGCTCCACCCACACGCACGAGAGGCAGCTAGAACGAATCCAGCCTAAAGCGCGCCGTATCACTGCGGGGTCGGCGATGTCGCCCCCTGCGTGGCGACTCGAGTCGAGCTGCACGACGCCAAAGCCCAACCGCTGCAGGGCGCGGACCGCCCCACCGTCGCAGCCGAGCACCAGCGCAGGGCAGCACCTGCCCCTCGTAGACGCCCGCCTGGCAGAGCGCCAGAGGCGCGTCAGGCGAAGGCCCACCGTGCAGTGATCTGTGGGGGCTGCGGCCTGACCGCAGGCGGCGTCGGCGCCACTGCCAGAGGCACCTTCAGTGGGAAGACGCCCGAGGCCGTGGTCTGCAGGATGAGGTCGTTCATCTGCCTGTCCACCTGCTCGCCGAACTCCACGATGTTCTGGCCTAGGCTGGCGATCCGCTGCTGCATGCGGGCCCGCTTCGCGTAGCGGAGGAGGCTCTGGTCCGTCCTCCAGCGGCCGCGGTCCTCGACCTCCTTCCTCGTGCGCCTGAGCGACAGCAAGTCGTCGGACGCACCCCCATGACGAAGCGAGTAGAGAGTCAACTCGGTCTCCAGACCGAGGGCAGCTGCCGCTCGACGGAACATACTCCGCACCTCGTCGGGGGCGAAGGTCCACAGGCCGTCGGTCGGGTCCTTGTCGTGAACCAGGGCCTCCAGGAGCGGCCAGATGGTCGGGTTGTCGACGATCGCGCTCTCGTCCATCTCGCCAGTCTTGCCGGGGCGGTCGAGGCAGGCGTCGTTGACGATCAGGGCCCAGTGGCCGTGCCCCAGGACGCCGTCGGGTCGAGGTCGTATCGCGCTCCCTGCCGTGAGGCGGTATGCCTCGCTGGGCCTCAGGTATGTGTCGAACACCAGCCTGATGAACACAGCCATGCCGAAGAGCTTCCACGCTATCAGGACACCCACGATGGACGCCATCGCCGCTCGAGGAAGAGGGAGTCGCATCTGAAGGGGAACGAGCTTCCGCCAGCCTGTCAAAGGCGCGAGCCGCCCGTGGGCACGGAGTCCTGCCAGCGAGGATCGCGGGCAGGTAGTGCTTCAGAGCGGCCATGAGTACACGGCCCGTGGCACTGTCGAAGCCGTCCAGAAAGAGGTTCACGAAATCGGTAACTAGGATGACATCGACCTCCTCTGCCGTGGTGAACGTCTGGGACGTCCAGCGGCACCACTCCTCGAACTTCTTGGCGGCGCCCCAGTAGCTGGCCATGGTCGTGTCCGACGCGGCGGCCGTCTCCAGCACCGACAGGGCCCCTCGGGCGAGTAGCACTGGCCCAGGATGGGTCTTGGTCCTTTGCTCCGCCAGTGTCGTGGTCCGCTGCCGTCGAAGTTCGGGGGGCATTCGCTTGGTGCTCCTCGAAAGTCGGCCCGACGAAGAAGCCCGTCCTGGACGGCGAGCCAGCGGCATTGCTCTCGCTGGGGATCCACCGAATGGCATGGCGGATGCCCGTGGCCGCCGACAGGGCGCATAGACGGCGTAGAGGGTCGCGAAGGCCTCGGGCGCCAGAACGGCCCTTGCCAGCGGCAAGAGCTAGAGCCAAATTGTCAACGGTGAACAAGATACGATGATAACGAAGCCGTCCAGACCGAGCCGAGTGTCGCATCGCAAACCCGAGAGCCTCCGCCTCGCATCGCATAATGTCCAAGCCGAACCTCGAGTGACGCGAACTTTGTATCGTGGCCCCGCCGTCGAAAGCCGTGATCGAGTCGGGAACTTCGTCGAAGCCGTCGAGGGAGGCAGCGTCAGCTGGTTGATGTAACGATGATGGCGTCGACGGAGGGCCCTCCGGGGTCTTAGGAGGGCTCGGACTGCGGCGGCGTTCTTCGAGGCAATTCTTGTCCACGGTAGCTTCAAGCACAGTGCGAGGCTCGACCCCGAGAGCGTGGGCACGGGCGTGCACGGCGTCGGAGAACCGATAGCGCCATCTCTCAGACAGGCGCCCAGCGGCCGCGACGACCTCCTGGTCGGCGGTCTTGCGGCAGACCCCGATGCCGTAGGGGGAGGCGTCGCTGCAGAAAGCAGTCGCCGACCACTCTGCTCTGACGTCGGCCCACCACAGCGGTGCGAGGGCGGCTGCCGCGCGCAGCTCGGCGATGACCGACGGCCATAGCGGCACGGCCACTCGGGCGTCCAGGCTCATGAAGCGGTAGACTGCGTTGAAGATCGACAGCATGGGCCTATTGGTGATCCTACCCCACGTACAGTGGCCCACAACTGCTGACAAGGCCAAGGGCGATGCGAAGCCACGTCTAAGTAGACCAAGCAGGGCTTGACGCAACCGGCAGAGCCTGTCGATCTTACAGCGGACGATGCCGACGTCGCCGAGAATGTCCAAGCCAGTGAAGACCACGCGCTTGGCGGCGGGGGCGAACTCGTCGACGGGCAGACCCCTCGACACGAGCACGTCACGCATGGCCTGGCAGGCTGTCGCGGCCACCTCAGGGTCGAGGGACACGGTGGCAAAGTTGCCTACGTAGCCCGCGCCAATGACGTCGGAGTCTTTCCGCAACGGGGGGATGGCAGCGCCGCCCACCAGCAAGGAGCTCTCGTCGATACCCGAGTCGAGGATGGCCGTGGTCAGGGCGGACTGGCAGAAGTGGAGGGCCCACGACCAGCCCATCGGCATGACGGAGACGAAGGGCTGCAGGAAGGCGTTCGTCCCGCTTGAAGCCGCTTGAAGCCCAGGTACCGATTCGGGACGACGGGCAAGGAAAAATATCGATGCAGATGTGGCGGTAACTTCATGTGGTAGAAAGCGCACTGAATGTCGCCCTGGGCCGCGTAGAAGTCGCGGTCGGCCTCGAGCGCGCTCCATGCCGACGGAGTCGGCAATCTCGTAGAGGGAGGGGCAGAGAAGGACATGTTGGCCACCCGCGTGTCGAAGACGAGGCGCAGGTTGACGCCGTTGGACTTCTCGACGAAGAAAAAGCCAGTAGAGTAGGTAGCCTGACGGTCGGCGACCTCCCACTCAAGCATGCGAGCCTGGTCCAGGCGTAGCAGAAAATCAGCATACTCCCGAGGGCGAAACCGAAGGCGTGGATCCACATAGGGCGACCCCAGACCCGAGTCCTTCCTGAGAGCAGCTGCATCAGCAGGGTCACGTAGCATTCGATGCCTCCACCCTGCCAACATAGAACGATCGGCTTCAGACACGAGGTCGGCCGTCGGGACAGGCGCCACGTGCTTCGGCCAGGAGACGAGCTCCTTGTTGTAGGGTCTTACCCGAGACTCCCCAGAGTACCCAGGCGCCGATGCGAGCAACTCTGCGAGGGCTGCCTCGCATCTTGGAGGAGATTCGGAATATCCAGGAGGTAGTTCAAAATCGCGATACTGTTGAGCAAGATACTCCTCAGCGTCACTACGAGCACGCGGAGGAAGACCAGGAGGCGGGCTGATCACATCGTTCGGGTCGCAGTGGTACATGTCGTTGAGCGTGGACACCGCGTCGTTGCACCACTCCCGCCACGCAGCACCCCTGGCGGCCCGTCTGCGTGCCGACCCGCCCATGGATGAAGTCCCTGATCTTCGTTCCACAGGAATAGGGCGGAGGGGGAAAACGTCTCGCTGTCGAAAGGGTGGTGCAGCGAGGGGGCAATGCGCCTGGCTGGCGCCACTGTGGCGCGCCCCACAGCCAGGCCTGAAGCTCTCAGGCGCCATGGCGCCCGCAAGGCCCGCTCCTCGCGGGCCGTGCGGCGCTCTTTGCTGATGGCGGCCTCCGCCCTCATCTGGTCTGCGATGTACTCCAGCAGCCTCGGCGAGATGCAGAGATTGGCCTTGGAGACACCAGCACCGAGGAAGTAGCTGGTCTCAGGTGCGCTGGAAGTCCCAGCTGAGGCGCCGCCTCTAGCCGCGGCCTTGGCCTTGGGAGCTGCGCCACTCGGAGGCGGCGATCGCGTCTCGTACACCCGCTCCTCGAGGAGCTGAAGTTGGCGAGCGATGATCTCGAACGATGCCATCTCGGCGATCTGCAGCTGATCGTACACGACGGCGAGGTCCAGGACGCGGCAGAGCGTCTCGTGCAGCTTGGCGTGCTCGTCCTCGTCGGGCAGGGCCATCGACGTGAGCCACCTCTGGTGCCACGCGGTGGGCGTACCCGCCATCGTCGACATGAAGGACAAACACCAGAGGAGGGTCCTCGGCCCCTGCACGGGCCAACCCTGCACAGGGGTCTCAGAGAGGGCGTTGACGGTCTCTCCGAACCTCCTCTCGCGCTCGCCCCTCGGGTTGAGCAGCATCGGGAGGACCCTGAAGTCGCCAATGGGGGCAGGCGCCCCAGCGGCGGCGGCGGCGGGCGCAGCCTCCAGTGCAGGAGCGGGCACCAGCGGCAGAGGCCCAGCAGGCCCAGGCGGGGCGGCTCCCAGCGCGGCGGCCAGCGCAGCGACGCCAGGGGCGACGCCGAGAGGGGCCGCCGCAGCGGCCGCGGCCGCGGGGGGCATCGCCAGCGGGGCCGCGGCCCCCGCAGGCAGCGCCGCCCCTTCCCCGCCAGGAGGTGGCGGCAGGGCCGCAGGCAGCAGGGCTGCGGCAGCCGCAGGGTCCGCCAGCGGGAAGGGACCAGGCGGGACGCCTACGACGTTGCCCGCCGCGAGCGCCAGCGGCAGAGGGTCGGGGGGCCTCGGGTAGCCTGCGGCCACCGAGCGCGCAACAGCCGCCCACAGCTCCGCGGCCGTCGGAAGGCGGCGAAAGCGGTGCACCGCGACGCCCGCCAGCGCTGGCGGCGTGTCGCCTTGGCCCGCGAGCTGCAGGACCGCTCGCACGTCGGGGCCGGCGACGATGGGCTCGTCGTAGTCGTCGAAGTCGGGCGTGAGGATGTAGCCGAGGCCCCCGTTGACGCCAAGCAAGAGGCGCTCGTGCCACAGGGGTACGCCGCCGACGCGGTAGCGCAGCACGTGGAAGCTGCCCGCCATCACTGCAGCGCAGGGGCGCGGGCTCTGGCGTCAAGAACCTGCTGAGCCGCGAGGGCGGCGATGTCAATGCCGTCCACGAACTCCACCACGGCGGGCGGCTGGCGGGGCGTCGGTCCGAGAAGCCGCCGCGCCGCCCAGGCGCCTCCCACGGCTCCGAAAGCGAGGCCGATGGTCAGCGCGGCCACCGAGTAGGCCGTGACGAGGCCTAGACACGAGGGCTCGACCACGTGCCCGCCCGCGCCAGCGCAGACGCAGGCGGGGCAGGAGAGGGTCGGAGGCGCGGGGCAGGCCAGGTGCGCGCAGGCTCCGCAGCTCGGCGCGGCGGCCCGCGCCACGACAGTGGCCCCCAGCGCCTGCGCCCCGTACCTCAGGACGTCCGCCGCATGGTGGGCGATGTCTTGCATCACTGGGCAGGACACCTGAGAGACTTGAGAATGGAAGCGCGGCGCGAAAGAGAGCCACAAATAGCCGCGGGCAGCATAATGATGATGAGGAGGAGGAGAAGGAGGAGGACAAGGAGGAGGAGGAGGAGGAGGAGGAGAAGGAGGAGCAGGAGAAGCAGGAGGAGAAGGTGGAGGTGGAGGAGGAG